GAGGGGAATGTTAAATTATACATTTATGGTATCTATGTTTGGTTCATAATTACAATTTTATGATGGCCCCCCCCCCCCCCAAACAGCTAGTTCTATCAATAGATTGCATTTGTATCTAAATTTAAATTTCAGTTCGTCAAATATAGATCAATATTTTAATCTAAATACAAATTTGACTCAACTATACAATATTTGGGTATTTATTTTCATGTACAACTATCTAATTCAATAACGATATGATCCGAGCTTTATTTTATGTATGTTGAATATGATAAAATTGAGTGATAATTTGATTAAGTTTAGTTGAAAGTCATATGTAGGTTACTAAAATTAAAGTATATTTTTCAAATTTGATGAGATATTGGGATTAAATTTTTATTGTTAATAAATTCCGATATAAATTATAAATATATAATTCAGTGAACAATCGGACCTGATTCGTATTGGATTGTTTAATTGTATAGCCCTAATTTATTGCCATAATATTGAATACTTTATCACTAAATCATGCTCTTCCATTTTGCTTTCCTGAATCATGTTGAAAAAATAGTTTTTTTTTATTTACGTTTAGATAGAGGATTCATGCATGAGACCCGATTTACGAAAAGAGAAGGAAAAAGAAAAAGAAAAGATCAAAGTAGTTGGCAATTTGAGAAGTTGTTGATAAATATTATATATACAAACAAAAGGCAATTTGGAAGAAGGTCTCTAGTCTGGTGGCTTCATTGACATGAGACCATGGGTTCGTTGATCCTAACCCACTGTTAAACCACCATATCCTCTTTTCATATTTTTGGCCATACACTGCAGTTACGTGTCAATGTCATCCTATTTACAAATCTAAGTTCATTGCACGATCCACTCACGTGTCCAAGGGCGAAGAACCACAAGTTACATGTCTCTCTCTCTCTCTCTCTCTCTCTCTCTCTCTCTCTCTCTCTCTCTTGTTTCAATGGTGAGAAATATCCGGATTACATGCAGTACAATTAATCTCCTCTCTAGTTGACTCACAAATAAGTCATTCACGCCGAATTTAGGATATTTATAAAAAATAGTCAAGATTCAAATTTAAAATGTCTGAATTTATACCTCATTTATGTTACCATTTAAACTATCTTTTATATTCACCCCTCTCTTTTAACACCATTTTAAGTGTGAAAAGGGTACAACATAGAATAAAAAAACTTGCAACTATATTAAGTAAAAAAGACATAAAAATTTTGAGCTCGATTCTCACAGTTAAGAATGGATCATAATCAAATTAAGGTTACAACTCAATAAAATTCAAAAAATTTGGGATTGACACAAATTTCAAAGATTATTCGATCAATTTTTTCTTCTTTGAAACTTGATTTGCTTGAATTGTAGTGAATTTAATACAATTAGATCATATCTATATAATAAAGTAGCTTACAATTCAAATCTCAAAAGATAACCAAAATGACTTTTGTTATTCGTGGTTAAGATCGTTATAAATTTTACTTTAAAATTAATCTAAAGGCTAATATTAACACCCTAAATTTAATAGAAAATTAGGTCCATAATGGTGTGTTTGGAATGACTTTTTAAAAGTACTTTTAGAAATTATTTATTATAAATATTTTTTAAAAAAATAGTACTTAAAACCGCTCCATCACCACCGCCGCCACCTCTACCACCACTATCACTGCCACCACTGCTACCGCCACTGCCGCCGCGACCACCAACCGCACCACTCCCACTGCCACTGTCGCGCCCACCACCACCACCGCCACACCCACAACCATCACAACCGTCAACGCTATTGCCACCACAGTCATTGCCACCCACCACAAGCATCATTATCTTCTACCACCACGATTGCCGCCCACCACCTCTCATTCATATTACAAATCGATGCTTAAATTTTTTTATCTATTTTCTATATTTTTAATTTAATTTTAAATATGAATACAAATATATTTATTACTATGTACCTTCGTGCGCATGAAATAACTAGATATTGCTTTCTATGTGTTAAAGTCAAACCAGCAAATGTTTGTGTGTCTCTCAGTCTGGATTACAAGTATTGACCGGTGCTGAGGAAGTCACAAAAATCAACTATCCATACTTTAATAACTCACAGAAACTTCTGTGGATGCAATTCAGGTGCATGCATTTACCCATCCTGAGTTTAATTGAGTGAATCATTTAATGGGTTAAAGTCATTAGTTTCTTTATTTTTTAATTTGAGTTACACTTGGACAAGTTTATTTTATTAATGTTAGTTGTTTCAACTAGCAGCCTATGTCTTACGATAGTTGCAATATAGCCGTACACGCCTTTAACTTATTATTTTTTTATGGAAGTCTAAAACCTTTGTTTGTAACTCGAACGAATGGAGTTACTCATATTTGGGTCCGTCTTAGTTCATTTTGAACACGTCTAAACTTGTTCATATTCTAATACAAATTAAATTGGATAAAAAAAAAAATTAAGACTTGCCTTTGTTTGTGCGAACTCAAGCTACTCATTTCGATTGCATAAGTTTGGACTGGTTTTTAAATCGAACCAAATCTGATTCCCAAGCGTAGTGGTTTTCATTGTCGAAGTAATGACCGTGATGAATTAAATCAACAAATAAGATTAGTAAATTAAATTCAAATAATATTTTTCTACAATTTTATCTATTGAATAAGGGATAGAAAAACTCCAAATTTGCCATCACGAACACCCACAAATCCATTTTCACAAGAAAATTAAGGTTTATATGACATGCAGGTATCGTGGATATCGACATTTCTTTGTGGTTAAGAATTTATTAGTTGCACTGATATAAAATAAAATGTTTGATAGTGAGATCTCAAAAAATATATATATATATATATATATATATATATATATATATATATATATTTTTTTTTTTTATTTCTCGCTTTAATATATTATTTATTATTATGACTTAAAAGGAGATCTATTAACTCTCGTTCCTTAAATTTTGTGCAGAAACCCAAACCCAAATAGACATGAAATCAGGGCCGGCCGGCCCTATGGCTAGGCAATCGAAGCCATTGCATAGGGCCTCAATTTAAAAAAAAAAATTATTTAGATTTACTTAACTTTAAATCATTGTAAAAATTTTAGATTCAAGTTTAATTAGGTCTAGATTTGTTTTTTGAAGTCCCAAACAAAACATTTAGATCAATATTCAACTAAATCAAATTTTATTTTTTAGGTTTCTAATATTTTTTATAGAATCAAGTTCAATGAAGTAAAATTTTACTTTTTTGAGTTCTATACAACTATGAGATTTATTATATTAACCATAATACTATTCATGTATTGGATATAAAAAAATTATGTAGTTTTTTTTTGTATATTATTTCCAATTATTGTGATTAACTTGAAAAGCCTGTACTTTGATTTTTCCTTTTTGAATCTGATAGCTTTTTGATAAGTTAAATTTATTTAAATTTAAATTGAGTTTGTTAATAGCTTCTTTTAGTTGCCACGACAGCATAAACATCAATAAAAAGTGTCTAAGATTAAACTTCAAATCTACTCTCTTACTATTTTATTGACTATTAGTTTTTGAATCAATTTTATAAATCTAAATGATACGCTAAAGAATTTGAATATTTAGATTTAAATAATAAGTTGACATCTCAAATAACAAGAAATTTATTTTTAAATAAATATATTTTAATAAAAATTATATCTTATCATAATAATCATAATTAATGGGACTCATCCAAAAATTTTGCCTTGGACCTCCGTTTGGCTCGGGCCGGCCCTGCGTGAAATGGAAGAGACTAAAAATTGATAGAAATAAGGAGAAAAACCTTTTAATTTTATTTCAATTCTCCTAAAAAAAAAAAAAAAGTTCATAAAAAAGGGCAAGCAAGACCCCTGAGGAAGGAAGAGGAGTAAATATTCAATAATTGTGATACTAAATTATCTCTGAAATGTAATATAACAAACTAACAATGAAAACCTCAAATACCACTAGTAAATTCCATGATTTCAATAATAATTAATAATTATCACATCTAACAACTATGATATTATATCATGTTGAATTCACTACGATCATATTTATATGATTTTAATTAGCTGGGAAAAAAAATTTGTCCTCCTTGATTTTTTTTTTTTCAAATAAAAAATATGTAAAATTGAGTCACTTTGAACCAACCTTTATATATAGTATTGACCAAAAAAAAATAAAAAATTCTTATCATTTATAAAATAAAACTCAAGAATGTCTTAATTTACCATTCACACCAAACAAACTATGTACTACTGATCAACTAACTCCCCTTGAGGTTGATTTATTATTGCTATCATAGGAAATATTTTCTCCGCCAAAGGACACGAATAACTGGTTTCTAGTGCCTAATTTTTTTTTTCTTATGATTTAACGGTGAAGAGTTATCTAACCAGTTTATGTACACTTTGATTAAAGTATTCATAAATCTTAAAGTGTTATCAAAATTTAAATTCAAAATATTTAAATTTATAATTTATATTTGTTGCCACTTGTGCTGTGATACTAAGTTTAACCACAAGTGACAATGACGCGGTTAATAACTTTTTTTCTTTTTTTTTTANTAACGGTGAAGAGTTATCTAACCAGTTTATGTACACTTTGATTAAAGTATTCATAAACTTTAAAGTGTTATCAAAATTTAAATTTAAAATATTTAAATTTATAATTTATGTTTGTTGCCACTTGTGCTGTGATACTAAGTTTAACCACAAGTGACAATGACGCGGCTAATAACTTTTTTTTTTTTTTTTTTTTTCAAAGTTTAGTAACTCGAATAATCAATTGTAAGGAAGTATTCATTGAACGTTGTAAGTTTAGAGAGGGGGTGGTGGGCGGAATGTATGTGAAGACTTGACTCCTTACCAACGATATATATGTTCTGACCACCGTGTACAGAGCTGTTGTGGACAAAACCAACTACATTGTCTGCTTCCNTAAGGAAGTATTCATTGAACGTTGTAAGTTTAGAGAGGGGGTGGTGGGCGGAATGTATGTGAAGACTTGACTCCTTACCAACGATATATATGTTCTGACCACCTTGTACAGAGCTGTTGTGGACAAAACCAACTACATTGCCTGCTTCTCTCTCTCTCTCTCTTTTTTCTCTACTTGGTTAGGGTTCTTTGATGATCCTGGGCCTTCCACTTCTGTAATGCATTTAGGTGTTGAAGATCTATACGGGTATTTGATCTGGGTTGTACTGTTTTTGGTGATTGATCTGATCGTTTTTGCTCTATTTTGGGGGTTTTCTTGTGAGAAGCAACAACCATGCCTACTCTCGTCAATTATAGTGGTAAGTTTGTGAAATTTGTTATGGGTTTTGGAATTTTGATAGTTTTGGTATCTGGGTTGAGCTTGGTTTTTGGATTTGTGGCTTAAAATGGCTTGTTTGTTTATTGTTGTGATCCTTGATATTGTGTTGTTAGGACTCAGTACACAGCTGTAGATTGATAAAAAAAAAGTAGCATCTTTGTGCTTTTGATTAGATATAGTGTAGAACAATTTTGATTTGAAAATATATTTCTTGGGGATTTCAGGCTTTAATGATATGAACTCGATGATCTGATTTTTCCTGTTAAGATTGTTTCTATGTACGTTTGATCCCAATTCACTACATCAAGGCCTAGCAATTCTTTTTCTTCTACTGTAAATTTCAATATTAAATACAAATAAAAAGGTAGGACCTGTTAGGTTTCTATACATGTTTTTCTCAAAACCCAATATGCTTTAATAAGGATACTTGGCTTTGGACGCTCTTTGTTTTCACTGCCCAACTTTTGTTTGTTTGAAGTTATATATAATATGATCATTTTCCATTAAATATAAATATTAAATTGTTTGGGGCTGAATTGTTAAACAAAATAACAATAATTTCTAGATATGTGCATGTACAATGGTTAGAATTCACCTATGTTTTTAAACTGTCTCGAGAATTTCCTCGATAGGAACTTTTGAGTGGACATATTTAGCTGATGTTAGTTATTGTTGTTGTAATTTCAGGAGATGATGAATTCTATGTTGGGGGATCTGCTTGCTCTGCAGATTCAGGCCTTTTTTTATCTATTGGTTCCCATGCAGATGTTTACTACCCTCCTCGAAAGCGGGCACGCTTCAGTGGCCCGATTGTTTTGGGAAAGTACTTGTTTGAGGAGGAGAAGAAACCATCTATTGAAGTTCTTCCCGATGAATGTCTATTTGAGATCTTCAGACGTCTCCCAGGAGGCCGGGAGAGGAGTGCCTCTGCTCGTGTGTCCAAGCGTTGGCTTATGCTCCTAAGTAGTGTACGCAATTCTGAAATTTGCAGGAACAAAAGCACCCATGAAGGATCATCAGCTGTAAATAAAGTCGATAAGTCTTTGAATGATATTGAAATGATTTCAGCTGATGAAGATCTGGAAATAAAGTGTGATGGGTACCTTACTAGGTCTTTGGAAGGAAAGAAAGCAACAGATATCAGACTAGCGGCTATTGCAGTTGGAACTGCCAGCCGTGGGGGACTTGGCAAGCTTTCAATCCGGGGAAGCAACTCCACTCGTGGAGTCACCGACCTTGGTCTGTCAGCAATTGCTCATGGTTGCCCTTCTCTCAGGGTACTTTCTTTGTGGAATGTTCCTTATATTGGTGATGAAGGTCTATTTGAGATAGCGAGGGAATGCCCCTTGTTAGAGAAGCTTGACCTCTGCCAATGTCCTGTCATTTCTAACAAGGGTTTGATTGCAATTGCAGAGAAGTGCCCGAATTTGACATCTTTAGCTATTGAATCTTGTTCAAATATAGGGAATGACAGCCTGCAAGCCATAGGACGGTGCTGTCCAAAGCTACAGTCTGTTACTATCAAAGACTGCTCTCTTGTTGGGGATCAAGGAGTTGCATGTCTTTTGTCATCAGCTTCGTCTATCTTGACAAAGGTTAAACTTCAGGAATTGAACATCACTGATTTCTCTCTTGCAGTAATTGGACACTATGGCAAGGCCATTACCAATCTTGTCCTATGTAAGCTTCAAAATGTGAGTCAGAAGGGCTTTTGGGTTATGGGTAATGCTCGGGGTCTACAAAAACTGGCATCCTTGACAATCACTTCATGTTGGGGAACAACAGATGTGAGTCTTGAAGCCATGGGAAAGGGCTGCCCAAACCTGAAGCAGATGTCCCTCCGGAAATGTTGTTTTGTGTCTGACAATGGGCTCGTAGCTTTCGCCAAAGCTGCTGGATCTCTTGAGAGCCTACAATTGGAGGAATGCAACAGGATCACCCAATCTGGCATTCTGGGTGCACTCTCAAACTGTAATCCGAAGGTAAAGTCACTGGCCCTAGTGAAGTGCATGGGAATTAGGGATCTACCGTTGGAAACATCTATGCTATCGCCTTGCGAGTCTCTTCGATTTTTGTCCATCCGGGCGTGCCCAGGTTTTGGTAGTGCTAGCTTGGCTGTGGTGGGGAAGTTGTGTCCTCAGCTACATAATCTAGACCTGAGTGGGCTCTGCGGAATAAGTGATGAGGGGCTTTTTCCCCTTCTGGAGAGTTGCAAGGCAGGACTTGTTAAGGTGAATCTCAGTGACTGCTTAAATTTGACAGACAAAGTGGTTTCTGCCTTGGCTAGGTTGCATGGTGGCACGCTCGAGTTGCTGAATCTTGAAGGCTGCAGGAAGATTACTGATGCAAGTTTATTGGCAATTGCGGACAACTGCGCATTGCTGAATGACCTTGATGTGTCCAAGTGCTCAATCACTGATTCTGGGCTGGCTGCTTTGTCCCTCGGAGTGCAGCTAAATTTGCAGATCCTTTCCCTCTCTGGCTGTTCTAAGATATCCAACAAGAGTATGCCTTTCCTGGGAAAATTGGGGAAGACGCTACTGGGGCTTAATCTCCAACACTGTAATTCAATCAGCAGCTACACAGTCGAGCAGCTTGTAGAGAACTTGTGGAGATGTGACATCCTCTCTTAAGTTAAGATGGTGAAGCAAACACCTTTAGGCTCTCGATCAAATAGGCAGACATGAGGTGTTTAGTGCAAAGTCAGCTTATGCGGATAGCAATACACTGAGTAGTAGTTTTTAGCCTATCAGAGGTTGGGCTTCCCCGTAACTCAGTGGCTCGGTTGTTTTCCAGGGAATTTTGGCAGATCACTTTTCCATCCTTTTTTGCTGGCTTCTAAAAAGCCTGTTGCAACTCTTTTAGTCTCTCCTTGATGGGAGGCTGCCACTTTCATTGCCATAGTTCCCTGAGAATACATTTACCCAGTCCTGGTTTTGGGTGTCCACCTGTCCATTCCGTGTCATGTTAGGTCCAAGGTCTGGAAGTGATGGGCGCTAACTCTACAGTACCTTGTGTTTTTAGCTTGGTCACTTGTTGCCTTCATGATGTCCTTCAGTAAGCTTTTTCTATTTTTGGTCTTTACAACGTTCTTTCATGGTCAGTCTCTGTTAGTTTGTGGTGTTTTTTAAGAGTCTAGAGTGTGTGACACCCTCGTTAAGGGCTAGCTTCTTGTATAATTCCTTACCTGAGTTCTGGTTGTGTAGTTGCTTTGGTGAGTTCTGAAGTGTGGGTGACTCTTATGCTGGGGCTTCGGCTGTGGCTGCTTGTTCATTTTGGCTGCCATGACAACCTTGCATGGTTGTGTTTTCGTTACCAAGTCCTATTTTTGCATGTCACTCCTGCTTTTGAATTGTAACAATGCAACTACTATGTTTCTATCTATAAAATACCAATGTTGTTGTTGTTAGTATTTATGTTTCCCATTGCCAAAATTGTTGTGTGTGATGGATTAAAGATATTAATTATACCTTGACTTCAAAAATTGGCATGTAAATCGAATTCTGGCAGGTTTAGATTGTGGACTAAATATGGCAATATATGGAACTGACTCACTTCTATTANTTTATGTTTCCCATTGCCAAAATTGTTGTGTGTGATGGATTAAAGATATTAATTATATCTTGACTTCAAAAATTGGCATGTAAATCGAATTCTGGCAGGTTTAGATTGTGGACTAAATATGACAATATATGGAACTGACTCACTTCTATTGGATTAGTTTTTGGGACAAATAGCACCAAATTTTGCAACAAAAATCAATATGAAGCTGAGATTTCCAGGAGCAGCATCTTTCCAGCTTGTTTGATTAGTGAAAAACAGGGGCAATCAGCATCCAAATGCTTTTGAATGTTGAGTGCGTCTAGTTGGTTTGGCATCTCTTTCATGTCACATTCGACTTCTTCTATCTAGCGTTTCACGTGTCTCGTGTGATATCATCCTACAACTTTGCGACTAACCATGATCTTGGAACCATGTTTAGACAGGTTTCAGCAGTTTGGCATACTCAGTCATGTACAGCAGAATCTAATCCTGGAAAGCTTGGGGTTCAGTATCCAAGCTTGGTTACTTGGTGTAGGGTGGTTTTAAGAATACTGTATTCATAAAAAATCTTAGGGCAACACAGGGCATGGTCTAAGTACACGCAGCTTTACCAACACATACAAACAGACTGCTACTGCAACTCAAACTCTTGATGCCTATGGCATAATAGAACAATCTTATGGCGCACACTAGGATTTAAAATTTTATGGTTCCTTGTCAAGGACTTGAACACTATAGAGCATCACACCTTGTACCTCTAATAATTGTCATGTCAGTGTAAGACTGTAAAAGAAAAGGGTGCATGACAATTCCACACTTGCCAAATAAGGAACACAGGGCCTCAGCACTTCAATAATTTGAGGACCTTTTGTTTCAAATTAAAATTCAGTCATTCACACTGAAAAACTTGTAGTCAGATCTACTGTTTCCTGAACTTGGAAAACTTGTTCTTCATTAGGGCCCCCTCAAAAAAGTTCTCTATTTCTAATTCACTGAAAAAGTTATGTCGAAATGGATTTGTAGCCATAAATAATGTTTGGTTTGTTCTATTTGTAGCTGTTGATTTTATAAGTAATAAAATAAATTGAAATAATAAAAAAAGAAAATTTTAAAACGTTTCGTGTTTCTAATAGACGATATCAAAAAAAAAAATTTCGGTACTATAGTTAAACCCTTTTTTACCTTCACCATTTCTTCTGCAACACCTTCCTATTCCCTCCTATATAGGCCAAACCCCCATGAATTTATTGTTCTTTCATCTAACTTGAGACAAGATTGATGGCTTCTTCAACAGTCCACAAAAAATGGGCAAGGATTTCTCATCTTCTTATTCATAAATTTCCCCTCAAAATCAGGTAAAAACATACCCATTTTATTTAAGCCACTGTTAGACTGTGCCAACTGAAGTTCAGTAGATATCAAATTTTTAATTAGTTTCAACCGAAATATTCAAAACCTATCAATATCGATGGAAATACAAACAAATCACTAGTTGAACAATGAGATACTTTCGAAAGATTTCTATTTCTTAACCTTCTTATGCACCAAAACAAATATTTGATAGTTGGTAACAACATCTTGGAAGATGTTGGTGAGAAGCAAGGAGATAAGGAGATCCTAATCTAAGGCCAACAGACATGCATTACATAAATTTGATTTATATCTGTAAGCTATAATATGCTACAAGAATTTCTTTTCTCTGTGTGAATCAATCATTTTTCTGTGACTGTTGGTGTTTTTATTTGTGTTTGGGCAGTTGGGTTTCTGTCGTTTGAAGATAAAAGTGCAAATGAACATGGTGCTGAGTTCAAGTCCACCTCAATGTGTGAACAGGAGTTTAGGTTGCAAACCTTTTATGGCTGTTTTAGTCATTTTGAAGGAATCAGCTACTACATGAGATGAGAGCTATTATCTTCTCTCGTGGAAGTGCAGATGTGGAGTGTATTGAACTATAAACCTGGTGGGCTGTCTCTCACGTCATATTGATCAAGCCATTGTTATGATGGTATATTTAAAAAAATCCAAGTGAGAACTTGATCTTGCATTTGCCCTTTGTTGGTACAGAGACAAGCACGAAGCTCCGTGGGGATAACACAAATAATAAGCAACATAACACTGAATAATTTAATAATTTTAGAAAGTAAATGGAGACACTGTCTGCCTATAACACAAAGCTGCTTAGACCCTCTCTTGTGGAAGAGCACCATTTCCTACGACTTCACTTCCTCCATAACTGTGCACTATCTTCTCCAACTAAGCCTTTCCAAAAAACCCATAAACACATATACGTAGCATTCAAACATCCATACACAGATATAGTAGCATACAATGACGTCTGTTATTTGCTTATGTCTTAGTTCTATTCTATTGTCTAGCTTTGCTGCGTTTGTTTTTTTGTTTTAAGGAGTCAAGCCTTCAGAGCTAACCATGCTGTGTCTAACATGTGTTCGTCCTCCTTATCCCACTCGGTCAATAACCACAAAAACTCTTCCGGCTCTATCGATTTTTGCCCCACCATGGTCCAGCCTTATGTTTCCTACGAACTGATTCAACCGCGGTGGTCAAGGTAGAGGCAACTACCTCTCCCATCGAAAGGTACCAGGCTTCAAGGGCAGAGTCAGAGTCTCTTTTCAACGGGGCAATCATCGAGTTAAAGAAAACGCATCTCGTAAACATTATTATTTTTTCAAAATTTCATTCTCCATAAAAAAAAAAAAAAATAGTCATAATCTAACACTTTTTATTAAATAATTCTTCACGTAATTTTTTTTACTTTTAAATATTTTTCATATAAATACACATGAAAAAAACAGGACTCGAATAAGAAAAACTAATATAAATTTTTTTTGAATAAAGTTTTAAAATAAAGACAATTTTTTTAGATAATATTATTTTGAAATATCACTAAGTGGATTTATCAATGATAAGATTTCGAATTATCCGAATGACAATTTGACTTGAAAACTCTATTTTGANATTTATCAATGATAAGATTTCGAATTATCCGAATGACAATTTGACTTGAAAACTCTATTTTGAATCTAATTTAATTATTCATCCGAATTCATTTTTATAATCTATATTCAAATCCATTAAATATTATGAATTTTATGAAAAATTCAATCTAATATATATATTTTTATCGCATTATAATTGTAATTCAATTTTATCGCTTAATTTCATCAAATATTTATATATGCATATTTGCGTATGCATATCAAATTGAATCATAATTAGAACAAATTTATATCCAAATCCAAAATCTTAGAATATGATGTAGTATATTCGAACTTAGATAATTGGTCAAAAATATTAATCTATATCTTAGTAATTGAATTCAAAGAAGAATTGATTCAATAACATAAACAAGCTATTGTATAAGAAATAGAGATGATTAGAGATTAAAAAAATAAGTGAAAATTAGGGTTGAGTCTTCCTTAAGGAACTTATAATGGGTTTAGTCTGACAAGAAAACTTATTTAGGGATAAGTTTGTTTTTAATTTTACTAATAAGTAGTAAAGTCTACTATTTTTTTAAAACTCCAAAATATCCTTCTTTAAAACCAACTTTAAATTAGTTCATCACTTGTGAATTATTATCCCTTAATTCATTATCAATAAAAATATGTTAATAAATTATTTTACATAAATTTGAAATTCATATTCAAAAAACAAATGATACTCTCTATTTCTCTCTCCCTCTCTATATAAATTTGTGTGTGCATATATATATATATATNAAAATTTTATGGTTCCTTGTCAAGGACTTGAACACTATAGAGCATCACACCTTGTACCTCTAATAATTGTCATGTCAGTGTAAGACTGTAAAAGAAAAGGGTGCATGACAATTCCACACTTGCCAAATAAGGAACACAGGGCCTCAGCACTTCAATAATTTGAGNTAAAATTTTATGGTTCCTTGTCAAGGACTTGAACACTATAGAGCATCACACCTTGTAACTCTAATAATTGTCATGTCAGTGTAAGACTGTAAAAGAAAAGGGTGCATGACAATTCCACACCTGCCAAATAAGGAACACAGGGCCTCAGCACTTCAATAATTTGAGGACCTTTTGTTTCAAATTAAAATTCAGTCATTCACACTGAAAAACTTGTAGTCAGATCTACTGTTTCCTGAACTTGGAAAACTTGTTCTTCATTAGGGCCCCCTCAAAAAAGTTCTCTATTTCTAATTCACTGAAAAAGTTATGTCGAAATGGATTTGTAGCCATAAATAATGTTTGGTTTGTTCTATTTGTAGCTGTTGATTTTATAAGTAATAAAATAAATTGAAATAATAAAAAAAGAAAATTTTAAAACGTTTCGTGTTTCTAATAGACGATATCAAAAAATAAATTTTCGGTACTATAGTTAAACCCTTTTTTACCTTCACCATTTCTTCTGCAACACCTTCCTATTCCCTCCTATATAGGCCAAACCCCCATGAATTTATTGTTCTTTCATCTAACTTGAGACAAGATTGATGGCTTCTTCAACAGTCCACAAAAAATGGGCAAGGATTTCTCATCTTCTTATTCATAAATTTCCCCTCAAAATCAGGTAAAAACATACCCATTTTATTTAAGCCACTGTTAGACTGTGCCAACTGAAGTTCAGTAGATATCAAATTTTTAATTAGTTTCAACCGAAATATTCAAAACCTATCAATATCGATGGAAATACAAACAAATCACTAGTTGAACAATGAGATACTTTCGAAAGATTTCTATTTCTTAACCTTCTTATGCACCAAAACAAATATTTGATAGTTGGTAACAACATCTTGGAAGATGTTGGTGAGAAGCAAGGAGATAAGGAGATCCTAATCT